GCATCAATTTTCAGATCCTCTCCAACCCAGAATTCCTCGCCGAGGGAACTGCAATTCAGGACCTCTTTAATCCTGATCGTGTCCTCATTGGAGGAAGAGAGACCCCCGAGGGATGCAAGGCGATTCAAACCCTGAAAGATGTTTATGCTCATTGGGTCCCTGTGGATCGCATTTTATGCACCAATCTCTGGTCTGCTGAGCTCTCAAAACTTGCTGCCAATGCCTTCTTGGCACAGAGGATCTCCTCTGTTAATGCTATGTCAGCCCTGTGTGAGGCAACGGGGGCAGATGTATCCCAAGTGTCGCATGCCATTGGTAAGGACTCGAGAATTGGACCCAAGTTCCTGAACGCCAGTGTGGGCTTTGGTGGATCATGCTTCCAGAAGGATATCTTGAACTTGGTCTATATTTGTGAATGCAATGGCCTACCAGAGGTAGCAAATTACTGGAAACAGGTTATTAAGGTGAATGACTACCAAAAGACTCGCTTTGTTAATCGGATTGTTTCCTCAATGTTTAACACTGTTTCGACCAAAAAGATTGCCATCCTAGGGTTTGCCTTCAAGAAGGACACTGGTGACACTAGGGAGACTCCAGCAATTGATGTGTGTAAAGGGCTGTTACAAGATAAGGCTCAGTTGAGCATTTATGATCCACAGGTTCCCGAAGATCAGATTCGAAGGGATCTTGCAATGAAAAAGTTTGACTGGGACCATCCGGTTCATCTGCAGCCGCTGAGCCCTACTGCTATCAAGCAAATCAATGTTGTCTGGGATGCTTACACAGCAACCAAGGATGCACATGGGATTTGCATCCTGACTGAGTGGGATGAATTCAAGAAACTTGATTTCCAGAAGATTTACGACAATATGCAAAAACCTGCATTTGTATTTGATGGTAGGAATATTGTGGATGTTGAGAAGCTGAGGGAAATTGGATTCATTGTGTACTCCATCGGTAAGCCACTGGATTCATGGCTGAAGGACATGCCAGCTGTGGCATAGAGAGAACAAAGCATAATCCGGAGCAGCAGGTTGAGGTTGAAATGATTTTGAAGGAGGACTGACATCCTATAAATTCTTTGTCTTCTTACAACACATTATATTCCTTTTAGAATTGGGATTCCGTTATTTTTTTCTTTTTTTTTTTTTTTTTCTCTTGGTCCTTTTTGTATTTCCTGATACTGTAGGGTCTGAATCTCCTTTTCTTTAGAGAAGATTCTGCATTTGGTAAGTGGTAGGATAACTGGATTTGTTACTTGGTTTAATATATAATAAAACACTAGACATCATTATCATTTCAATATCAATTTTCTATTTTATTATAACGATCCAGTGTCTGCTCTGTTGCTCTGCTTGGATTGGAAGAAAATTATTTGTTGTTCTGTTGCAGTGCAGTTATTAAGTAATTTCATAGGAATGTTTGTCAGTTCACATGGCAAAGAGAATTTTTCAATGTCTCACAAATCACTGCCTGCTTACGGTATTTTAATTAAATTACTATGGGTTTGGCAGCATTTGTATAATCTCCCCCACTTGAGACAAAATGGAAAAAAAAGAGTTGAATACTTTTGTCATTATCAAATGAACACAAAATAAAAACCACTTAATATAAGGAGGTTGAATTCTGAGCTGAAAAGGTTGAATATATAAGAAGTTAGAAGCTTTAAAGTCAGATTTTCTTAAAAAATTGTATTATAATTAATGTTTATAAAAATTTATATTAAAAAATAACTTAATATAAAATGATAATTTAAAATAAAGAGACAAAAAATTTGTTTTGAAAGAAATTACAAATTTCCTCCAGACTGCACTAACAGCCAATTCTACAGAAAGATATATAGACTATACTCTGCTCTCAAAATCTTCATAAAAGACAAACATTAACAACTTAGTTCATCTGACTCAGCTGCAAATTTTAAAAATTTTCTGAATTTTATTTATAGATTCCTACTGAATTCCACAAAATCTTATTGAGTTAAAAATGGTGGCATACAATGGAGAACTCATAAATTTATTTCATTAGGGCATCTGATTGCTCCTAAAATTAGTAGTAATATACATCTAGATGCATATGAATGAAATAATTTATAAAATACATATATTCTAAAAACATATATTAATTATTAATTATTAATCATTGGTGTCAGAGCTTATGTTTTTTCTCCCTTTCAGAATCACGAGTTTCAATGAAGCTATACGTATATATATATATATATATATATATATAAGTTAATAGAAAAAACTTAGCCTCACGTTATTTTATAAAAGGGTCCTCCTGTTCTAGATCTCTTATTGCCTTCCAAAGGAACTCACACCAAAACTTCTCAGTTTATATATATATTTTTATATATTATTAGGTAACTATGTTGGTCTTTGTTTTAGTCACAACGCAATTGTCTTTAAAATTTTAGTTTAACATGCTTTGATAGATTATAAATTTATAATTAAATGAAAACCCAGTGAATTTTTATAGCTTTTCACTTGGTCAACAGTTAATTGAGTTTTAATAAATATATACACATAATTTTATCAATAAAAATTGCTTTATGGGCTCCCCAGCCTGCTTGCAACCCAAACTCTGGCCTACAAATTTCTTATGAGGAACAATCAAATAGATATATGAGTAAGAACTGTCCGACAGTTTGTTTCATCTGCACTTTATTACTTATAAATCAGGGTCAACCTTTTTCCACTTTACATCAAAGTCTAGTTCGAAGTATCTACACCAGAGTAATTCCTTGTGCTATACAACAGTCAATTATTCACTTTCCAATTGAAAGATTTCTAGAGTAGCCTTATGGCTGTGTTACGAGAGAGAGAGAGAGAAGAGAGAAGAGAGAGAGAGAGAGAACATGGTGCAATTCACAAAGATTCCTTGGTAAGCACTTTGACATGCTCAACATTACGTTCAACGAAACGCATTTACAGAGAAAAAGGAAAAAGTTTGGTAGGCCAAGATCTCCTAAGGACAAATTTTCCTGAGTGACGAACCTGTGACCAGTCCAAGATGGTTTCACATCTTGGCCCCAAGAAATTAGGCAAAAACTTGATGCTTTTAGTCGTTTCTTGTCTTATTATTATCCCAAATATCCTGCCCAAATATCTCTTCAATGATATTGCAAGTGGGTAAAAAATCCACACCCTTTATCGGCCCGGTTGCATACCTGCCATCCCAAACTTTAGCATCACAGGGATCAAATAAATACATCTGGCCTACCAGATCATTGAATCCATCAAGCTTATTCCGTGAAAATGGGTTAATATCAGTCTTTACACTGCTCTCACGCACAGCATGCCTAGCAACATCAACCGAAACGCATGAACTGACAATATTGGGTTCAAATGCAAATGACATGCACGAGTCATCCTGAACATTGAAATTCTCCTCAATACTTCCTGATATCTTATCTGCACAATGAATAGCAGGATCAAGCCCGCTATTATTAGACAACCTCACAAGACCTGATTCTGATGAATTACCTGTCGCACAGTCTGCACTGCTAGCACCTCCACTATAATCACCAACATCACCATCACAACCATCACTGTCACCGTCATCATCGCCGTTGTTTTCATCATCATCTCCATCATCATCACTGTCCTCTTCTCCGTCATTATCTTCTTCAAATGTTGGACATGCCTTAATGATTTCATGTAAAGGGGACTCAATAGCAGAGTCTTCATCCTCCTCTGGAACCTGAACTCCAAAACAGCCTTCATGGCTTCCATGCCATTCATCATCATCACTGTCAATGTCCAGCAAGTTACATCTATTCTGAGCACCCCGCTTCTTCACCATAAAGACATTGAAGTAATAGCTAACAAGCTCCTTTTTGTCTCGAGAAGGAAATGCTGCTGCTAAATGCTTCCAAAAATTTTGACCTAATGAGAGGGGGGTTGGAGTAAACAACCTCGTGAAAAATTCCTCTTCTTTCCTCGCTCCATTTATGCGCAACTTCTTCACCCATCTCATAGAAGCCCAAACTCACAAATTTTTCCTATCCAATTGCGTTTACTAAAGTTTCTCTTGCCTCCACGATATGTTGTCGCACACATCTCCCAGAA